CGTCTGAAAGCGGATCAGCACCCAGCTTTTTAGGTTGGAATAACTTCAACTCTGGTCTTTACTATTTTTTTTTTGTTTTCCTCCTGTCAGAGTCCTGCTGCTTAGAGATGGGCGTGTATGAGTGACTTGTGGCATCACAGGGTTATAAAGTCAGCTGAGCACAGAAAGAAAATAATATTGCACTTACATTTAGTGCTTTGGTTGCTGTCAAAGGGCAAGCCAGCACTTGAAAGTGAAGTTGCTGTAAAGTGGTACTGCTAATCGTCTTGTCCTTCTGCTTGGCTGGCTTATATGTCCTGCCACACCGCCATCGGACTGCCCGCATGGTATCTTCCTTCCTGCTCCTCTTACCTGTCTGGCACCGTGAGTATCGCCCAGTATCTCTGCCTGAGTACTTCTCTGTGGCAGAAACATAGAGAGGAAGGTTTGTGCCGCCTCTCTGAGCACATCAAGCACCTCTGCGGCATGCTGTCCCCATCCTGCTCCTCCGTACTGTGCCAAGTAAGCAGGTGGATGAGCCACAGCCTCAAAAATCAACAGAAGCACTGTCTGGCTTTCATGAATGTGGCTCGGACTTTGCTTTTTATTACTCCCAACTGCTGCAGATAGAAAATCTTAAGCTCCCTTAACTATCCTATGTTTGCCTGAGTTTATGGCTTAGCTGCTATTGTGTAGGGTTTTCTGCACGTCCATGCAGATACTCAAAAAAAGAGTATATATGTGCAAGATATGTAACCCCAATAAAACTAAGAGATCTGGGTGGACCCAGCAAATAGGATCCGTGCGGCCCCCCAGTGCATTATGAACCTAAGAAAGAAAAACCAGAAGTTGATTGACAGTGAAAATATTTTGTGACAGTTTTGAGAACTAAGTACAAACTGTGTAGAAGAGTTAGTAAATGTATTCCTTAAACCTTAGAAGTCATATTTGAGAAAAGTTTAAGCAGCTTGCTGTTTAAGTAAAACACGGAATATAATAACACAAATTAGATATTCTGTACTTTCTCTTCTGCTTAGGTAAAAGACTGCATTGTTAAGCCTATTTTGCCACAGAGTTGCTCCAGAATTATGATGAACAACAGTGCTAAATCACTGTAAAGATAAACCTGCTAAGCAAACAACAGAAAAAGCAAAACAAAACCTGACTCGTTGGTCTCATAGATCTTTACAATGCACCCCATCCTCTGAAAAGAAATAATCACTGAAATCTTTAAATATACTTGTAGTTTCCACTTAATTCTTCCTGAGTTTTGTCTTTGAAAATGGTGACTTGGTCTCCTTTGCAAATTATGTTTTGTGTATAAATCTGATTTTACATATATGTATTATATATATT